CAAACGGCGGATTCAGTGGCCAACGACGACGACCACGACAAAGGTAAAATCAACTACATGCACTGGGGTTTTAATCTGCACAATAATGGCCTCAGATGTACTTTTATTTGCGCAGTAGATCGAGCTAGCCATGCTAGGCTGAACTGGCTAACACCGGCCCCGAGCTGGCTAATAACATCTAGCTAGCTAGATATTCTCGGCCGCTATGAAAACGTTTTGACTTGTGAATAACTGTGCAGTGTTTCTGTAATTTGCTTCACTAACACATGGCACTAATCGTGTGTTTCAGGCGAGGCTGGACAACTCTCAGGATTGGAAACAAGCGAGCTTTCCCTTCCAGATCACAGCGCTTGCTCGTCCCCCTTACCAGCAACCAAACGCAAAGGTACACACACTGTAACTTGGTCTTGAAAGAACGTTACGCATCGAACTGATGTTCACAATCACGTTTATTTCCTTCTTGGTACAATTATGAAACAGCGTGAAAACGTATTCGCCGACCGGCGTTTACAAATTTTCGCGACGTTTTTACTCTCTCACAAACATTGTAAACATCCGGGCTAGAGGTCACATGACTTCCGGTAAGAAAACTTGCCTCAACAACATTAAACAAAGTTCAAGCATACATGAAGCACTCTTCAAAAATACAAAACAATAAATAAGGACTCTTTGAGCGGCAGCTACACACACACACTCAGTGTGTATATATATATATATATATATATATATATTAGGGCTGTCAGTCGATTAAAATATTTAATCGCGATTAATCGCATGATTGTCCATAGTTAATCGCGATTAATCGCAAATTAATCGCACATTTTTTATCTGTTCTAAATGTACCTTAGAGGGATATCTTTCAAGTTTTTAATACTCTTATCAACATATGAGTGGACAAATATGCTTTATATGTTTGTTTATTATCATTTGAACAATGACAAATATTCTCATGAATATTAAACACAACAACCTCTGAACATTACAAATATTCGCCTCAATTCAACCTGGAACCTCTCTCATACAATAATACTGTGTGTGTGTGTGTGTGTGTGTGTGTGTGTGTGTGTGTGTGTGTGTGTGTGTGTGTGTGTGTGTGTGTGTGTGTGTGTGTGTGTGTGTGTGTGTGGTGTGTGTGTGTGTGTGTGTGTGTGTGTGTGTGTGTGTGTGTGTGTGTGTAGACACTGTGATGGATCGTTGGAGCTATGTGCAGCTCAAGGCATATATGCTCGAATGGGAGCTGCCTGGACGCTGCAATCATGTTGCGCGTACTATCCGTGCTGAGTGTGCTGACTTTTCGTACAATGTCCCACTGTCTGGCTGCCTGCATAAAGTCAAGTGCTCGGCGCAGTTGTCGGCGAAATGTCATTGAAACAGCTCCTTATATCCGTTAGCGCAGCTAGCTAGCACCAGATGCTAACAACAACAACACGTAAGGTGTGCCTCGCTCGCGCGAGTCGCGCCACACATACACACTCCCTCCCGGTCCTCCCGATGGCCAGTCCGGGCCTGCCAGTGAGCGTGGAAGTGTGGTCTGCCACAAGCGGGCGGCAGGAGCGGGGCTGTCAGCATCAGCTTGTCGATGGTATTTTACACTCGATGCGCTCTGAAACTACGGCGGCCGAGGACAAAAAATACACATGCGTTAATCGCGTTAAAATAATTAGTGGCGTTAATTTTTTTTTGCGTTAACGCGTTATTAACGCGTTAACTTGACAGCCCTAATATATATATATTTTATGCTATTTGATCCTATATTATCTTCTACTATACACCTGCATTGTGTACACTGTCTTGTCCCGGCCTGCACCCTGTCCAATGTTGACTAGTAAACACATTCCTAGTATGTTGTAAAACTACATGGCGACTAAACAGATCTTCTATCTTGCTTATTTTCCCTCTTAGGAAAGCGGGCACGGGATGTGAATTTCTTTGACACCGTCGAGGCGTTGGAGGACCGGCGTGCCGTGGTGAAAGAGTCGATGCACGGCGATCAGATGGTGCTGTTAACCAAGGCTCAGGAAACGGAGGACAAGATGCTCACGATGATGGAGCGCCAGGCTGAAGTGTTGAAGCGGCAGATGGAGCGCCAGGAGCACCAGGATGAAGTGTCGATGCAGCGCCAGGAGCGCCAGGATGAAGTGTTGGCGCAGCGCGAGTGGCGCCAGGAGCGCCAGGATGAGCGACAAACCACTTTTCAGAATGGGTTTCTGGAAGTGCTTTCCCAGATAGTGAAAGCCAACAGTTCTTCCTCCCTATAGTTGCCACTGTTAACAATGTCTGCTGCTGAGCCTATCCCTACACCTGGGACAGTTCATTTTGTATTGTTTTTATTAATACTGACACACAACTTTGCACTAAGGTGTGTATGCTGCTGAGCCTATCCCTACACCTGGGACAGTTTATTTTATATTATTGTTATTACTGTTATTATATAGTCTTGATACAACTGACACTTTATTTTATATTGATAATGTTAACTTACATGTACAACTTCTATTATATTTACATTAAAAATGTGAACTTCTATTTACTGTTATGTCTTGAGACTGCAATAAAGAGAACCTACATGGCGATTAAACAGATCCTGTATCTTGCTTATTTCTCCTGACACTTTATCTTTAGTGACCGTAGCATCCTATACATCACATGTAAGTGATTATTCTGATACCATCATGTTTCATCGGTTATAAACTGGCGAAGCTTTATTTGTCATTTATTCATCATCAATGTTGCAACCTTGTGGGGGAATGGCAGGGGAACATACACAAATATGATAATTTATATCATTTTAAATATTATTTGAACTAAAACTAAATATTTTTATGATTGTCCTCTGAGGAGGACATGGGGATTTGCAAACTTTTAATTCCCCCCCCATTTTACACAACACAAAATGGAGTCCACTATGGGCCGAAACTAACATGTAGGTTTCCATAGTGTTTATGGCAGACGGATGCAGTGGGTCTCAGGAAGATATATATATATAATAAAGGTGGGTTTGCTGCTGAGCCTATTTACTGTGCATACAACACACCTGGCACAGTTTATTGTTATTATATTGCCACACTGTACACTATTGTAATGTTGCCTGTCTTGACTGGAAAATAAAAGAGAGAAACAAAAGCACTGTTCAAAAGATCAGCTTTATTGTCAAAATGTTTACAATGTACAATTTACACGCTGTTCAGATGCCTCATAAGGGCTGTGCGCGTGTCTTGCCCCCCAGCCTCGGCAATGGCTGGCGCTGGCCCATCAAGCTGGGTCGCCGGTAAGGCAGTCCATTCGTCCCTGTACTCATCATCATTACTTTCACAAAGGTTATGTAATATGCAACATGCTGCCACCTGGATTTTGATCTTGTCCATCTTGCAGTCGTTTCTTTTCATCAAGCACCGCCACCTGCCCTTCAGTCTGCCAAAAGCGTTCTCCACCACCACTCGTGCTCGGCTTGTTTTGTTATTGTACGCAAGTTGCTCAGGCTGCATTAACTCAGTTACAAAGCTGTATAACATGAGCACAAACAGCACAACTTCAGTCGACTCCATCTCCATCATGTCTGAGGTCGGAAGCTAAACAACAGACGCCGAATGTACAGCGAGTGGGTGGGCGTCGCAGTATACGCGGGAAGTTTTTCTTCTTCTTCTTCTCTTGTTTTTGTAGCGGATTGCAAACAACTTTAAGGTGCATACCGCCACCTACTGTACTCGCCATGAAGTGGTTTGTGGCCTGCCAGTAAACCCAAAGCAGAAGAAGAAGAAGTGACGTCAGCGGCTCATTTGCGTAATCTTCCCTCAGGGAAAAGTACTCCGGTGTGAACGCGATTGGTACTTAGTGCCCTGGGGTAAAAAGTGCCGGGGCACTGAGTGCCGGAACTAAGTACTGCAAAGTACTTGGTGTGAACGCGCCTATTGGATAATGTTTAGATGGATTTAGGAACTTCCCCTCGATTCTATTGGCTCTAACGGTTAAAAGAGGTGTCAATCGTCAAAATCGACCAAGGGGGGCCAAAGATATGGAAAATTCCCCCAAATGACCCCAGAAGTGTTTTTTTTCTTTCTAAATCTCTCTAAAAAGGTCAAATGTCACTTGTTTTGCATCAATCTTGATACAGGGTACTTATTATATGTTATAGTTTGGATTCCTAAAGCTTTTAGTCTACTATCCCATCATTCAAGGGTGGTTTTCACTATAAGTAATGTTTTTTTTTTGTGTTCAATCTGAATTTACTTTAAAATAAAAACATTTTATATTGATTCTGACTTCTCTACATCCAACTCACAGGTTTATCATTGCTTTGAGAAAAAAGATTATTAATTTACCCATTTTAGATGTGAAGATATAGTCAATTGTTCTGGGAATGTCATTTTCGAGCATGAGACCTGAAAAACAGGCTCCAGGCTTAACAGCACATACAGGATGGGCATTGGACCTAGGCCAGTGTGCTGTGATATATTCAAAGAGAGCCACGTTTCTTGCAATTAATAAAAGCAAAGAGGAGATATCCTGGATTCTTGTGAGGTAAGCAACACCAAAGGGAAAAACAATCTGTTCTTTTTAATGTCCTCAACAGATGAAACATCAACCCCCAACTAGCAGGTGTGTGGGTGGTACTTGAGAATGAAGATGTTTTTGTCTGGTCTTTTAAAACCTGCTTTAGGTTTAGAATATTATGGAAGGGAATTAAGGTCCTCTAAATAATAAGGTGATTACATTGAAGAGGATGACATTTAATCTGATTAAGTCACCTTTGAACAATTACAACTGCAGATTACTGTCATGGTTATAAAGTGTGTCTCCACTTTGTCAAATAACTGCATTTGATTCTTTGCAAACTTTTTTTTTAACAATAGAAGTCTGCTCTTGTTTAGTGTTTCCCTCCCTGTGGACAGGCCAGATTTCAGTGGAAGAGCTACTGTATGACTGATTGGTTCCAGGAGCCCCAGAGTACTTTCAAACTGCCTGAGGAAGAACACACATTCACACAATATGAAAGCAGTCACCTTCCCCTCCTGGGCTTCACTCATGGCGTGTCCTGTTGATGTTGTCCTGCGGCGCTTGTTCCCGCCGAACGTACTGCGTCCAGTCATCATGCCGGTTAGAGCAGCGGGCCCCTGGGGTGCTCCTCCCGGTGCAATCATCGCTCCTCCTGACGCCGCCGGACCCACTGTGCGGCCCTCCTCATCGGTCACCATAAAGGTAGACCACATGTTGTGGCAGCAATGCCTTGGGCTTTTCCCTCGCTGGTTGGTTGGTTGGTCGCTTCGTTGGTTCAAATTTGAGCAAAATAAAAAAACAGACGGAAATAAAACCTGAAGAAAAATGTTGTTGTTCTCAGTTTGTGCCCATAAGGAAAACAGGAAAAACACCTGAGACAATATTAAAGTAAAATAAAGTCAATAACTGGTGTTACTGAGCAAGCACAGGAGGTAGAATGAAGGAAAGCAAGAAGACTCTGTGTTGAGAACTAACTGAGTGAGAAAAAGTGTTATACAAAAGTAGAATAAAAAGTTTAAACCCAAAGTCTTTGCTAACAATAACTGAACAAGCAATGTCTCTGAAAACGTTAGCAAGAACCAGCAGGAATCAGCCTTCTCTTGTAAAACAGCCCCAGAAGAAATGGCGGCTTAGACAACAGATGCAAAACTGATGAATGTATCATTGTGAAAAAAAGCAAAAGACAGGAAAATGTGTGTAGAAGAATAATGCCACTGAGAGTCTGTAGAGGTAGAAGTAAGGAGTGGATGAAGTGATGCTTCCTAGAGAGGAAAAAGAAAGGACAAAAGAAAAGAAAAGTAAATATAGGGAAATAGATGAATCCAGTGTTACATCTTGAAGTGAAAATACTTCTAGACAAGTATCAGAGTCTATAATCAAGATTTGTTCCCACCCCCCCTCTATTCACACCGGGCATTATTCAATCTGCATCTTTATGGTCTATATATGGACAAACCAATTTATTGCAGCTGTATTGACCAAACAGGACTTGGATTGCCCTGTACAGCTGGTGGTGTGACTTAAATGTTTAGTTTAGATCTTAGTTGTGAATCTGTACAGTTTGCCCATGCAGTAAAGGAATAGTGGAAAGGAAAGATCAACTATTTTCTCAGACACCTCGCTTCCCTTGACCTGGCAAGGGCGACGTATTTTACCAGTTTTATAAAGGAACCCCTACTCTGAATATGTTATGATCCCATAAAATGAAACTACTTTCTCAATTACATTTCGAGGGAATTCCTCCAGGATTATGGTCAACTATAAACATTAGGGTACTGTTGAATTGCAACAAGGTTAGATTTAGTCAAATATCATGGTTCAAATGGTATGGTTCAAAATTGTGTTTGCCACCTAATTTAAGTTACATAATAATATACCTATGTAACAGAAAACATTTGTAACATACATCTGTAACAAAAATTGAGGGGGACTTGCTGCGAAGTAACGTAAGATTAAAAAGCATTGGTTGCTCCGCATTGGTGCTGAGTTAACAAAAACAACTCACATCTAAAACTACAACAAAATAAGTATTTCTTTTAAAGTGTACGTTTATCCCGAATTCAGAAGCTTCACGACTGTGGGATTGTGATAGAATAAAAGCTCAGAACTGGAGAGAGCTTCCTCCAAATATAAACAATTATCTGTGCTGTCGGTTCTACTTTTCAATTAGGACAGAAAAAACAATTAAAAAACACTTAGCATAGTGAAATCACCATCAATTATCTATTTTGAGATGTTATGTGACAGCAAACACAGAAGAAAACCGTTGCTGGAATCACAACATGCTATCTATTCTGAGACGCTTTGTGGAACCTCAGCGGCACAAAATCACTCATCATGTTCAAGCCATAACCAATTATCTATTCCAGGAAGCTCTGTGATGGAGAAGTCACGCAGATACAATGCAGATGAATCAAATCTTAAACTCTTTATGTCTGCAGGGTGAATGAAGCAGCTGTCCTGCTGCGTTCCACCAGGAAGTGGTGACAACAGACAAGACATGCCCCCCCCCCCCCCTCTTGTTAGCAAAAAATGAAACACATCCCCTGGGGAGGACACATAGCTTTACTTTCCCATCAGCGTCTGTCTCGTTAACAAGCCACAGTAGAAGTTTAGCTTTGTTGTCTCGCAAAGCTCTTTGTGGAAAGCAGATAAAACAAAATGCACACTACAATACATCCAAAACACTTTTACACTTTTTTACCATATCCTGTTATATAGACAGCTTAATTGAAACACTTGACGATACTATTTGGATTCAGTCACCAAATATCTAAAAAAGAAAAAAATGAATGATAATTTGTATGCTGCAGCAGTACACAGTACACTGGTGTTCAATGAGAATGCATACAGAAACTGTAAAAGACAACAACTTAGGTTTTAATTGTCTTAAAGTCTAAGTGTATACAAAAGCCCTAAATGTACATTTGTCACAGAAACTGTGTAAATGTAAAGATTATACTTGTTATTTTCATTGTTTCATGTTTTTTTCTATGACATTGCAGGGTTGGAAGAGGTCTGATTTTTGATGTTTTAAATGTTATATTTATGTACATATTAAAGGAAGAATATCATTGGGTAAATGATACAACTAATTACAATAAATAACAAAACAAATCTGGATATTAACGGGATATTAAAGTGAATTGAAGTCATTCGATTTCACCAAAGACAAATATGAAATGACCTCCCAAAGTAATGAATAAATAACGAAATATTGGATGGTAATTGACATAAGAAGAAGCTTAGAGGTAGAATTTATAGTATTTAGTTGTTAGTTGTAGTATATTTTACTTTGTAAGTCCAGGCAGTTGCAGTAATCCAAAGAGATATGGAGAAGCAGGCAGACATCTTGCATCTTGCTCAAAGGCAGTTTGGCAGGCACATTCATCAGATGCCAGCATCATACTTGCAACCTTTATGTTACATAAGAGATAACATGCCATACTGATGTTACCAATAATACTCACAAAATGTTTTACTACTGGTTTATTAGTTCCTGATATGACAACGGTAAGGAAACAGTGATGAAAATGTCACACAAACAAATGATCTATACCTAAAAGAAGAGTACATGCAAAACGCCAAAATGGCATACTTAATCATTATGGACGTACATTTGTAAAACCACGACAAACAAAAAAAGACATTTACATCTGCCATTGCAGAATAAGTTGGTTAGTTAAAGTATGGTGTTAGCAGTAAAACAAATTGGAACTTGAAATAAAGCAAACTCTGCTGTCCCCTAGTCATGAAATCTGAACATGGCTGGCTTTATTAGGCATATAACTGGTCTCAGTGGAAAAAGATGCATCAAACATGAGAAAGGTACAGCGGCAGCGACAAATGCTTTTAAAAATTTGAAAACAATACGTCTTACTGTCGTCAAAAATCAGTTAACATGACATCGACCCTTAGGAGAAAGCTATTGCCTTATATCAAAGCAAACTGGACTCCATAAACACTATGTGTTTGAAGAGTACCCCCCACCAGCCCTACCCCGCCAAACAGTAGCCATTGAATATCATGCTGAAATTAGAAACATTAGCTTTATTTATTTTCTCCATATCAGGTGCTGCACGTGTGCTTCACAACGTTCGTCGCCATGCACTTCACAAATATCACAACAATGATTTTAACAAGTTGCTGACCTGGTTTTTGTGTGTGTGCTTCGGCGAGAAGAGGAGAGGGAGTGAGAGGGGAGAGAGAGAGAGAGAGAAAGAGAGGTGGGCGGGTGAGGAAGGGGAAAAGAGGGCGGAGGTCGTAGTCGGTGTTACGTCCCGAGGGAGGATTGGGGGGGTCTGAAAGTGTACGGGTGGGAGGAGGTGAAAAAGAGCATCAGCTAAATGGCCATGTGTGTGTGTGTGTGTGTGTGTGTGTGTGTGTGTGTGTGTGTGTGTGTGTGTGTGTGTGTGTGTGTGTGTGTGTGTGTGTGTGTGTGTGTGTGTGTGTGTGTGTGGCATGAGTGTACCTTTGCACACCCACACACAATATAGGGTTACATATTTGTCTGTGTGTCTATGTGTGTGTGCATGTATCTGTGCATGTACATGCTTGCGTATTAGCTTGCAGGCCCCTGTGTGTGTGTGTGTGTGTGTGTGTGTGCCTCTCTTACATCTATTTTTGCCCCCCACCTGTTAATGACATTAAAGCCGACCCAGGGGAAAGGGCTCGGCGGGGGCCTTGTGCCAGCTCCACTCTGGCTGTGAGGCTCCTGTCTGCAGCCGTCTCTACCATCCCACTGATTGAAGAGGGAATTGTAGATTCATCACCTCGAAAACAAGTTACACTGCTGCTTGGCTCACACAATCCTAACCTGAAACCCGAGACACCGCACTGTCTGCTGACATAGGCAATGCAGAAATGTATCTGCAGTTTGTTCCTACTGAGCAGCGACTCTTAAAACTAAACTTTGAATTGTTAACTCTTGTATGGGGGCCGACAAATGCAAACGGTCCAAAACAATCCATAAGGGTTAGGGTTAGGGTTAGGGTTAGGGTTTCCAGTAACCCTAACCCTATGCAAATAAAACACTGTCAATGAAAACTCACCTCAATTGTAAGTTATATCGGCTCATTTTTAACAATGTGTTTGCATGATTTCATACAAGATCTGTTTTAAGCTAGCTAGCTAACGGAGCTAACCTAGTCATTTAGGAAATACTGACAAAACACTCACAATTATGAAACCGCAAGAGTGACAGTTGGCCAACTTTATAATAATAATAATATCAAAATCAGTTCCGATCACAGCTGTGTGCATCACTTTTTAATATCCCCGTTTCCGTTGTGTTTTGAGATTCTTGCAGCGGTCCGTCAAGCTGGCGATATGTGTCATGATTTTGTGTTTTTTTGTGTTTCATGTTTCCTGTTTTATTTTGAAATGCCTTTTCTCCTTGTGTCTTGTCCTGTTTCACTTCCTGTGTTTTCCCGCCTGTGTGATTGTCTGATTGGTTCACCTGCTGCCCCTGTGTTTCTCCTCCCCTCTCCAGCTGTGTTTTATCTCTGTGATTAGTCTTGGGTTGGGTATATAGGCTTGTTTTTCCTTGTGTTCTTTGTTGAGTCGTCATCTTCGTTCCCGTCTATGGCCCTGTCTGTTTTCCCTGAGATCCTGCCTGTGTTCCTGATCCTGTTCCTCGTGCCCTCCCTGGTCTGTACATGTTCAGTTTTCCGTTGTTTTTCTATCTTGGCTTGTTCCCCTATTTTTGTGTTGAACTGATTTTTGTTTTGTTTGTTCATAAAAGCTTGTTTTTTGTCATAAATACCTGTCGTCCTACTTTTACTGCTTGAACCCTGACAGAAT